AGACGGACAAGAGAAACGCACCAACATTCATCGGTGATCACTCTAGTCGGGTCGACTTCGCTGCGTTTCACTTCACCTCGTTTCTCGATCGATAATCTACCTCCACAAAGAAGAATCTTGAGTTTTCTTTTCAATTTTTCTTCATCTATACTGTGGACATTATCTTTAGAGTTCTCTAGCAATCCTCTAAGGTGGCTTTTGTCTACATCTAATATTTCCGCACAATCAAGTAATTCCTTAATATCCCAATCTATTTTATCGCATATTTCTTCAGCTATGACAAAACTTTTTGCTTCTCCGTATCGTAATAATCTGCAAAAATATATGAAGTGCGATACCAAGATTCCGGCTGAATACTGTTTTTTAGTATACTCAAGTTTGCCCATGTGGCACCACATGATGTAAGATTGTTTCTCAATAAACGTCTTGATTTCGATAGTTGTACCACTGATTGGAAAGTCTGATTTCAACTCTATTCCATAATCTAATGCCTTTTTGCGAAAAGAATCAAAGCGATCTTTGATGGTTTCAATAGGCCCTTCACGATTTATCGCGATCAACTCCACTTCCATTCCTAACAGCATCATTTCATACCCAAGCTCGAATACAAACTCACGTTTTTCTGTTGAAAGTGCCATCTTAATGAGCCAGGAAGTGACGGGTTTACCCTGCGAGAAGAGTATTTCCTTCTAGTTACCTCAATAAAAATTCGCGAAGGAAAATAATACGTTGGTATAGTAGGGTGGGGCTGTTTTTCCTCAGTCAACTGGTTTTTCTGCGCGCTTCTAAATAAATGCATTGATCCGGTGACCAAATCTGAGCCCACAAGCATAATAAATGGCGTCTAATTATTCAACACTAAACTTCAAAAGTCTTCTTTTCTAGTTGATCATTTAAATTATCCTATCATCGAGAGGAAAGAATCTCAGCATTTATTATTTGTGGAGGAGAGACGTTTGTTTCGTTACCGACGGGGCACGGAAAAATCGCTGATATATCAGCTTATCGTTCCTGTAGTCATCCGAATTCAAGAGAGTTTCCTACGAAACAACTACTCTAAGTGGTATCGCCTTAACAGGCAGTTGTTGTCGATCAAATTAAGTCTTGCGAGAGCGCTTTCGTGCATGATATTTTAAAGAAGAAGAACGGATCATAGTTATATCACAGGCTTAGAAATGGGTTTCTCTTCACTCTGGAGAAGGTCGAAATCTAACCCTCCCAAAACACASTAAAACAGCATCAAAATCGAAAATAACCCCTCCAAAAATGTTCATAAACTATTGAACCATCTTTATTGAAGTTTTTTGATATTTCAAGAATGAAAAGATACGGTTTAGAAACGATATTTTGACTACATGTGAAAATCCGTTAAGTTTGTCGCCACAGGTAGCCCATCTCCCGTAACTCCTCAGAGACTGGTAAGCCTGTGGTTATATACAGATAAATGCGGAGCTCGTGTTCACAAGTCCAGAGGTCAACCGGAAGCGAAAATTACGCGTAATGAAGTGTGGAAATCAATCAGTTTCTAAGCAACCGCCGCGCATGCTCAAATAA